TATATATATATATATAATATATATATATATATATATATATATATATATATATATATATATATATATATATTTTTTTTTTTTTTTATTTATTTATTTATTTATTATGATTTTTTTATTTGATATTTTGTTTTTAATTTATATTTTATTATTTTATTTTAATTTGTCACTTTAAGCTAAATACTAGTATCATGAAAAATATTTAGTCAAATATTATGTACTGTCATCATGGCAAAGATAAAATGAATAATTTATTAGAAATGAGTTATTAAAACTATTGGCCCAGTTTCACAAACAGGGCTTAAGTTAAGCCAGGACTAGGCCTTAGTTAAATTAGGCTATTTAAGACACATGGCCTTAGAAAAATGGCCTCAGAAAAATATTACTGGTGTGCACCTGGAGACAAAAAAATGACACTGACATTTAAGACATCTCTCCGCAAGTTGTTTTGAGTTGAGACAGCTTAAACATGCAATTTAATCTTGACTAGCCTTAAACCTTGTTTGTGAAACCGGGGGATAATGTTTTAGACATGCTAAAAAAATATTTCTGTTAAACAAAAATATACAGGGGGTCTAACAATTTAGGAGGGCTAATAATTCTGCCTTCAACTGTTTATTACACTGTAGAAAATAAAGTGAAAAATTCTGTGCTCCACTAAACATCACTTGGGAAATGTTTAATAAACAATACACTTTTTTGTACAGAAGGGCTAATAATTCTGACTTCAACTGTATGTTGGCATCGTGCCGATTTTCCAGAATGAGGTTAAACTGTAGTGACTAAGTAATTGCCACTGCAGAAATATTTCCCTCATGAGACCGAGCATTTAGGATAAGATCAGTCATGTTAGTTGTTCCTAAAAAGATAATCATAGAGCGTTTAATTGAAGGTTAGATACTCTAAAGTGCTGATCTCTTCTCGGGAAAGTGCAGGGATGACCTATTTTAACAATTATATACTAATTACACTTTCATTCTGTGTCTGTAGCGTTTGGTCAAAATGAATGTCACGACCCTGGTATTCCCATCAATGGGCAGCGCTTTGGAGAGCACTTCTTATTGGGAAGCTCAGTGCTCTTCACATGCGACGAGGGCTTTATTAAAACCCACGGATCTGAATCCATCACCTGTGTCATCCAGGATGGAAACGTGGTGTGGAACGCAGCCGTCCCTCGATGCGAAGGTAAATATGCTTTAAACTTTGCTCTTTGGCATCTTTGTTGAATCTGCTGCTGGGACGCAGGAGACAGGCTGTTATTGACGTCCTGTTTTTTTCGACACTCAGCTCCATGTGGAGGACGTCTAACGGCTCCTGTGGGAGTCTTATTATCGCCTGGCTGGCCTGGATACTACAAAGACTCGCTCAACTGTGAATGGGTCATCGAAGCTAGAAAGGATCATGCCATCAAGATATCATTTGACAGGTATTTTACATTTATTTATATTTAATATCAGTAATTTAATTTAATTTAGTATTTTTTTTCCTCATTTTTTTACAATGTAGACAGACAGTCAGTGCAATTTAACAAAGATAAGGAAAATTGGAGAAAAACCTATATAACAGTATTTAATTAAATTAAATTAATTATATTTAATGTAATTATTTGTTTTATTTTATTTTACTTTAATTTGATCATTTTTAAATAATTTTTTAAAACAAATTTTATTTTATTTTATTTTATTTTATTTTATTTTAAATTTGCTTTTTTTGTGCTTTTTATAGCATATTTTTTTACAATGTAGACTGTACTGATGCAGCTTTACATCGGTGAGGAAAACAATAAAAAAGCCATAACAATGTTTAATTTAATTTAATTTAATTTAATTTAATTTAATTTAATTTAATTTAATTTAATTTAATTTAATTTAATTTAAAATTTATATTTTATTTTATAATTTTTTATTTAATTTTTTGGGGTTGGGAAATAAAATATTTTCTTATGAGAAAAACCTAATTTTATTATTATTTATAATTCTTTTATTTTATTTTGTTTTCATTTGGAACATAACATTTTCTCCAATGAGGAAAAGAGAATAACAATTATAACAATATTGAAGGTTTTATTTTATTTTATTTTATTTTATTTTATTTTATTTTATTTATTTTTATTTATTTAATTTAGTTTGATTTAATTAAATTTAATTAAATTTAGCTTTATTTGGAAAAATACCATTTTCTCTTATGATGATAAGAGAATAAAATCTTGTAACTAATATTAAGGTTTTATTTTATTTTATTTATTTATTTACAAAGTAAATTTTGTAAAAGCAGCCTAACATAGAAGAGGAAAAGAGAATAAAAAGCCATAACAATATTTAAGGTTTTATTTTTATTTAGTTTTTAGCTCTTTCACAATGCAGATTGTGTAAAAGCAGCTTAACATAGATATGCAAAAGAGAATAAAAGCCATAACAATATTTAAGATTTCATTTGGTTTTATTTCATGTTTTTATTTCATATTATTTTATTTTATACAGCATTTTACAATCTAGATTGTGACAAAGCAGCTTAACATAGATGAGGAAAAGAGAATAAAAAGCCATAACAATGTTTGAGATTGTGGAAACATTCCAGCATATCAGGCACGCATGACATTATTATATTTAATTTAAAACTATTTCAGTTCAGTCAGTGCTATTTTTTTTTTATTTTTTTTATTTTATTTATTTAATTAATGTTTTTATTATTGGTTTTATTTT